GAAAACCCAAGGGCGTGTTTGGCCCAGGAGGAATTAAAATCCATTCCTCCGGGAGGAACGTCTGTTTGTGATCACCCCCGCAGCCAGATTACCGCTGGTGTTAGGGAGCCCCTGGCTGCATGGACATGACCCTTACATTTTGTGGGATGAAGGGAAAGTACAGTTCATCTCCCCTCGGTGTCAAGAGCACCGCTGGAACTCATAATGGGGTTCCCAATCTGTCCTGGAAAACCCAAGGGTATGTTTGGCCCAGGAGGAATTACAATCAGAATTACAACTACAATCAGAATTACAATTACAATCGGAATTACAATTCGGAATTCCCCTTGAATACCGGGACTTGGCTAGGGTCTTCGAAGAAGAAGAAGCTGACGAGCTCCCCCCCCCCCATAGGCACTCTGACTGTAGTATTGAATTACTGCCGGGTCACAAACTACCTAAGGGGCGCATTTATGCGATGGGGCCGGCAGAAAAGGATGAACTGCGTAAGTTTATCGATAAGAACCTGGCAAGGGGTTTCATCCGGCCAGCCTCCTCCCCGTTTGCTGCCCTGGTGCTGTTCCAGAAAAAGGACAGGGGTTTACGGTTGTGCACGGATTATTGGAGGTTAAATGCTGTGTTGTCGACTAATGCCTACCCCATGCCCCTTATCAAGGATTTACTGGCCGAAGTGGCTAAAGGGAAAGTCTTTTCGAAACTAGACCTCCAAGATGCCTACTTCCGGGTTCACATCCGGGAGGGGGATGAACACAAGACTGCCTTTAATATGCCCCTCAGCCAGTTCAAATACCGCGTGATGCCATTTGGTCTTTAGGGGGCTCCGGGGGTCTTCATGAACTTGATTAACGAAGCGTTGTGCAAGCACCTGTTTAAGGGGGCCCTTGTTTACCTAGATGATATCTTGCTGTACTCCCCCGACCTCCCCTCACACGTGAAGTTAGTGAGGGAAGTCCTGATGACGTTGCACAAGCAAACTGTTAACGAAACTTTCCAAATGCAAGTTTCACAAGTCACACATTGACTTCCTGGGGTATCGGATATTGAACAAGGGCTTGAAAATGGACCCGGGAAAGGTCCACGATGTGCTGGGATGGGAGACCCCCCCCCCCGCGCACCCGTCGCCAATTACAATCCTTCCTCGGTTTCTTGAACTTTTACAGAAATTTCCTGCCCGACTTTGCACAAATCAGTTTGCCCCTTACTGACTTGTTAAAAACTAAAGGGAAGGGTCCGGAGGCTACCAAGCCAGGGGCGGTGCTTGCTTGGAGCAAAGAGTGCCAAGAGGCTTTTGACCGCCTTAAATCCCTGTTCACATCAGAACCCGTATTAGCCCACCCTGATGAAAATAAAAAATTCTTCGTTCAAGTCGACGCATCTGACATAGCCATGGGGGGGGCATCTTGCAAGAGGGGCTGACGCGTTAATGCACCCCCTCGCTTACGTATCCAAAAAGTTTAATGACACTGAGCGAAACTGGTCGGTTTGGGGAAAGGAGGCGGGGCGATCTGGCTAGCGCTCACTACCTGGAGGCACAGGTTGGAGGGGGTGTGAGTCCCGTTTGAAGTGTGGACTGATCACAAGAACTTGGAAATGCTTAAAACACCTCGGAGCCTCAACGCCAAGCAGTTCCGGTGGGCGGATTTCTTTTCCAAGTTTCAATTCACCCGTCATCGTTTCCCCGGTTCTACGAACTCTCTCGCTGATGCCCTGTCCCACCTCCCTCAGCACGACAGCCAACGGGAGGTTATTCTGGACTCTACGCCCTCTCAACTTGGCAGGGTGGTGACTACGTTCAGCCGTTCCAACCCCTCCTCACCTACTACGCAGCCAGACCCTGGTATCCACCCCCCTGCTGCACCAGGCGGGACCCATTGGAACAGTAGGTTTATCTCCGTCTTCTTGGAGGGTGACAAGACAGAGGTGGAATCAGAGGGGGGGTTGGAAGTCAAACCAGATGGGTGTTGGTACCGCGGCAACAAACTGTTTGTCCCACATGCCCTACAGGGGGAAGTATTGAATGTGGTACACGTCTCGAAACTGGCTGGTCACCCCGGGTTTGTTAAGTCCCTGCAGCTGCAGCAAAGACAATTTTGATGGCCGTAGATGCGAAAGGATTCGTCAGCCTTTGTAAAATCGTGTCAAACTTGCGCCATGTGCAAGTCCAGACCGGGAAAACCTCCGGGATTGCTGCAACCTCTCCCGACTCTGAGTCAGCCGTGGGAGGCAATCTCCATGGACTTTAATCACGGATTTACCCCCGAGTAAGACTATGTTGGTCATTTGGGTTGTTGTGGATTTATTCTCTAAGCAAGCACCTTTTGTCCCATTCGCCTCCCTACCCACGGCAAAAGCACTGGCAAAGGCTTTCTTACTCAACGTGGTCCGTCTACACATGCTTCCGGCTAAAGTAGTCTCTGATAGGAGGCCCAAATTTATTTCCCGGTTTTGGGGGGAGCTTATGAAGCTTAGGGGAATCGAACGTGCGTTAAGCAGTGCCTATCATCCAGAGACTGGTGAACAGACGGAACGTGTAAATCAAACCTTAGAACAATATCTGCGCTGCTTCACTAACTGTCAACAAGATGATTGGGTGGATCTCCTACCCCTTGCCGAGTTTTGTTACAACACGTGTCATTCATCTATGGGAATGTCCCCCTTTAAGGCACTGTATGGATATGACAGCCCCCCAGTACCTTTCTTGGAGGGACCACTGACTTGGAGATGGGGGATGCTGCACAATGGTGTCAACACCTGAAGGACTCTTCATCGCCTCTGCAAGACGTTGAATGCGGCCAAGGAGGCATATAAGACTCTGGCTGACAAGAGAAGGGTGGAGGGTTGGGCTCTGCAGCCTGGGGATTCGGTGTGTGTGTCTACTAAGAACATTAAAGTGTTGCAGCCCAGCCGTAAACTGGGTTGGAAATATATCGGACCATTTAAAGTAAAACGGATGATCAATGATGTGGCTGTGGACTTAGATTTACCCAAGAACTTGAGGAATATCCACTCTGTGTTTCATTTCAGCCTCCTGAAACGGGCTTCGGGGTCAAGCCTATGGTGACCATCGCAGCCTGTACCCCCCCCCATCATGATCGAGGGCGAGGAACATTATGAAATCTCGAAGATCTTGGACTCTAAAATCAAACGTGGCAAATTGTTTTATCTGATGGAATGGCGAGATTTTGGACCCCAGCACCAGGAATGGGTGGAAGTAGGGGATATTCGGGCCCCTAAGTTGTTGTGCAAGTTCCGCCGGGACTTTCCAAACAAACCAGGACACCTCCCGGAATCACCAGGAGACCTCCCGGGAGGGGCTGACTTTTGGGTGGACAGAATGTCAGCTATGCTGCCATGATGTTTATGGGCAAGAGTGCAGCTGCTTGACCTGTGTACCAACTGCTGCCACATTCCTTCGTCCTTGCTTATCTATGACCTTGCTAGCTAGCTGCCTGTGTAGTGTCTTCCCATCATTTACCTGTGGGATTAGTTTTGATTCCCAGCTTTGGCTTTAACGGCCTGGGGCCCCATTCTCCTGCGCGTGGGAGTCAGGCCGATTGGCCTAGGAGTGTGTGTGTGGGGTGCATACGAATACCCTATATCCCATTATGCTTGTAGGAAAGTAGCCATTCCTAACAGTGACGATGTTACTACCTCTATAGCTCTTACAATAAAGTATAACCTTATGATAAGCGTGTACTCCTTTGTTTGGCTGTGGAACCTGACAGGTATAAATCCAATCTCTTCTTCATGGAAATCCGATTGTCCTAATGTTACCTGTACCATCAATTAATGTGTGCAGGAAACAGTATGAGAACACAGACTAATCACAGTAGCTTAGCTGAATTTCAGGTGTGTTGGCCTGATGATGTGGATGAGCTGTTGCTTGGCCTATCTTGGTATAGGTCAGCTTGCCAAGGAGGTGGATTAAGATGTGTGCAGGTTTGGCTGGAGAAGGTGGAGACTCATGGCCAGAGAATGTAGTGGTGGCCACAAGCATAGAGGGCTTTAAAGGGGGATTAGACAGATTCGTGATGGACAGGTCCATCAGTGCCTCCTAGACAAGACATTCAGAGGCAGTTAACCTCTGAAAACCAGTATCAGGGGGCAATATCAGGGGAAGGCATTGGCCTCTATTCCTTATTGTTAGCCCTTCATAGTAACTGCTTAGCCACTGTGTGAGACGGGATGCTGGACTAGATGATGGACCGTTGGTCTGATCCAGCAGGGCTCTTCTTACGTTCTGAACTGTCCCTGAGGTGCAGCTGCTCGGGGAGGGGAACAGGGAGAAAAGTGCACTGAAGAAGAATGAACGTTGCACCAGCCAGCCAGCAAAATGAGCCATGCCCTTTGTGTGTGCTTGGGCTGTGGGGTGGAGCTGGCTGTGCAGACACGTGCTTCCTGATAAGGAAGCGCAAGGAGGTGCGTGGCTGTCCAGTGGGTCACTTCTGGGGGGTAACTCAGGCCAGCGGGCAGCAGAGGAGGGGAGAAGGAGTCGTGGGGACCGGGAGAGGGGGCGCTGCAGATTCAGGAGGGGGTGCTGGCCCCACCACCACCGCCTAACTACGGCCCTGCTTGGGCTGCATTGACATATAATTGGATACTGAACTATAGCAATCATTTCCACAAAGGAAAACGGCTCCAGCGCAATGGTAGCACGCTATCCAACAATATGTGGTAGCGGCTTTAAATGCAACCTGGTGCATGCCGAGAGAGACCGCTTTCAGTAACTGGAGGCCACAAGGATTGAAAGATTGGTAGCAATGTTCCTATATCGCCGCTTGGTGGCAGCAGAGAGCAAAGGCACGGCAAAGAGCCGCCGAAAGGGCACAAGAAAGTGCTTGCAGTGGCACAAACCAGCCACTGGGGGGCAGCGGTGACTAAGGGACGGGTCGTCGTTCCCGGTCATTCAGGGCCACCAACATCGTGTCTGGGACTGGAGACCCAAATTTGGAAGACCCCAGCGGGGGGTTCTCCTCCCACGTCCGGAGGCGGCGCCAGCTTCACTCCCGGGGGACGGCGCAGGTGAGCTGCGGCTGCGGCCTCAGAGTGAAGGTCGTCTTGGGGACGCTCAAGTCTATGTCGGAGGCGGCGATGCCGGGCGGGGGGCGGAAAGTGAATTTCTGCAGCAGGCCTGCAAAGAAGAGGAAGAGTTCCATCTTGGCCAGGCTCTCGCCCATGCAGTTCCGGCGCCCTGCAACGGGGAGGGGGGGGACAGAAATAAGACATTGGAGAGCGCAGAATTGATCTGGAGTCCTGAGCAAATCTCCCCCCCCCCCCCCTGTCGTTGAACTGGGGAGGGGAAGTGGCGCTGGGAACAACTCCTGTAGAGTTTCCAAGGCAGGAGGCAGTCAGAGGTGGTTTGCCATCACCTGCCTCTGCGTAGCAACCCTGGACTTCCTTGGTGGCCTCCCATCCCAAGTCCTAACAAGGGCAGGTCCTGCTTAGTTTCCAAGGACTGGGGAGGACTGGGAAGACCTGGATTCAAACCACCCCTCTGCTGTGAAGCTCGCTGGGCGACCTTGAGCAAGTCTCTCTCTCCCCTTAGCCTACCTTACAAGGTTGTTGGGAGGAGAAAATTGGAGGTGGGAATAATAATAATAATAATAATAATAATAATAATAATAATAGCAGCAGCAGCAGCTTAACAGGGTCAGCCCTGTTGAGTCCTTGGATGGGAGATTTATACCCTGTCCTTCATTACCTGAAGGAGTCTCAGAGCGGCTTCCAAACTCTTTTCCCTTCCCCTCCCCACAACAGACACCCTGTGAGGTAGGTGGGGCTGAGAGAGCTCTTTCGAGGACTGCCCTTGAGAGAACAGCTCTGAGAGAACTTGTGACTGACCCAAGGTCACACCAGCAGCTGCATGTGGAGGAGTGGGGAATTAAACCCGGTTCTCCCAGGTTAGAGTCTGCGCTCTTAACCACTACACCAAACTGGTACGCAAGAGGTGAATCTGTTCTACGTGGAGTTCTAACCCTGTTCTGCAGCTCTTACGGCTATAGGTGCCTCTTGGTAGGGCTGCCAACTCCAGGTAGGGAAATTCCTGGAGATTTGGGGGAGGAGCCTAGGGAGGGCAGAGATGGGGGGGGTGGGACCTCAGCAGGGCATAATTCCATACAGTCCACCCAGCAAAGCAGCCATTTCCTCCTAGGGAACTGATCCCTGTAGTCTGGAGGTGAGTTGTGATTCCAAGAGATCTCCGGGCCCTTCCTGGAGCCTGGCAACCCCACTCCTTGGTAAGCTAGCGAGCCACCCACACCCCTGCATCTGGAAAAGAAGATCCGTCAGGTACCCAGGGAGTATGGCACGAAGGCTTCCCTCTTGACAAACTGTCCTTCGGGATCGAGGAAGTGGCCGGGGTTGAACTCGTGGGGGGTCTCCCAGTGACTGGGATCGAGGAGCACGGAGGTGAGGGATGGGATCACCGTCGTCCCCTGGCAGGAAAGCACAGGAAGGGCAAAGGGTCAGCAGGGTGTGAAAGAAACCAGAGCGGCTCCCACGTCTCCAAAAGCAGCCTGGCAGAGCCCCCACCACCATCCACATCCGATGCCAAACTGGCTCCTGTCGAGTGGTAAACAGAGACTGATTCCAGCCAACAAGAAAACTGGAGCCGTCGACAAATACTTTTGGAGGTACCTTTGGGATGAAGTAGCCCCTGAAGTGGGTGTCCACTGCTGTGCAGCGTGGCACGTGGGGGAGCAGCGTGATAAACCTCTGGATCTCGTGGATTACTGCGTTGGTGTAAGGCAGTTTCTTCCGGTCTTCAAAGGAGGCCCAGCCGCCTGGGTCCACCACGCGCCCAATTTCCTCTTGGACCTTCTCTGCACAAGACAAGAACAGTGGACAAGTAAATCCATTGGAGCTGCCTTCTGGATCTGATTTGGCAGGAGTTTGGGGTCATTTTGTAGAAAAAGAGGTGCAGGAGCTCATTAGCAGAACTCATTAGCAGAACTTATTTGCATATGCCACACCCCTGACACCACTGGAAGTGTGTCAGAAGGCAACACCCACCGCTCAGGCTCCACTGGACTGTTTTGGATTGATCGCTATTGGGGGGGGGGGGAGAATGTGCAGATCTCCCCTCACAGAGGAGGGAGAGCTTGTACTTGAATAAACGGCTCACACATTTTCGTCATAGTTCAGGAAGGATGTGGCTCCGGAGCAAACTAATTTATGCAGTGGCCAAACCGCTCGCTCACAACTTTAGTGCCGGTTGCTTACCAAAGTAGAGTTTTTGTTAACAAGACTCCACAGCTTAGAGGGAACATTAGTGCCCGCCCCCTGGGCTCCTTACTGCCGGTGCTCCACTCCTGTGCGCTCCTGCAGGAAATGACCCCTGCTCCTTGTTGGGAAGGCACAGTAGAAGAGGGTGTAGATGTACCACAGTGGCTCAGCTCACACCCCACGATCGTGGTCCTGTGAAGAGGGTGGGGTCCCCAACTGGGCCTGGATCATCACTAGCCAGATCCAAGTGAAGCCCCCCACGGTGGCACAGGGCCAGGAGGATGTCGGAAGCGGATGACTTTGCTCTGTTGCCTGCCTCAGCATTCCAGAGACGGCACCACAGACATTGGTTGAATCTGCATTTGCATTTTTAAATTAGTTTCGAGCTGCTGTGACTCCGCCTTTCTCTATGCTTGTTTGAATGTTGTTTGGAGAAGATTCTTTTAAAGCAGTGCAGAGGTGCAATGACAGTGGAGCCGCCACGAGAAGGGGATAAACATATGTGGATGTGCAAAAGTACGCTAGCACTGTTGAGGTGTGGAAACGACACCAAATGTAGACAGCTTTTAAAAGTCAGGACACACAGAGCATCCTTTCCTTCCTGCTATCTGATACTGTCCTTTTGATGCAGAATGCAACTCTCAGGGACAAACGTCCTGCCTTCCGTTTTTTGACATCTCTCTTGCACAGACGCTCTGACCATTTCTGCCGTAGTGAAATTCCCCGCATTGACGTTTTAAAATCTGTGTGTGATGTGAAATTTCCTGCAGTAGATTTTTCCTCAAGTATCCAGAAATATACAAGCAGACTTCCCAGCTGAAACTAATAATACAAGGAAGAAAGCTGAGAAAAGGACACTAAATAGTAAATATAACAATTTATAAAAATTGCAAGTCAATAGTTACAGTATAACATGAAAAAGTTCCTGGTAAGTATAATACAAAACGAAGCAACTAAACAATATCTCTTCTTGATATCGCATTGATAATCAATGCATTGGATTACCAATATAAAAAAGGGAACAGTCACATGTCTACATGATGTAATGTGCTTCTGGATAAGTTGTTCAACGAAATGAAGTATCATTCCACAGTCTTCGTCACTACGCCTTGTTCACCTGTTACAATTTGATATATTGTTTAGTTGCTTCATTTTATATTATACTTACCAGGAACTTTTTCATGTTATACTGTAACTACTGACTTGCAATTTTTATAGATTGTTATATTTATTATTTAGCGTCCTCTTCTCGGCTTTCTTCTTGTAGATTTTTCCTCACCAGGCACAAACCCATAGTTTCTTCCTTCTTTCCCCGTGTTTTCAGAATTCCCAGTTTTAGCAAGTTCCTAAAACTTGGGGTATGAAGGAAAAAACTTCAGGTTTGCGCTTGGTGAGGAAAAATCATCTGCGGAAAACGTCACATAATGCACAGATTTAAAAATGTCAATGCAGGGGATTTCACTACTGTGGAAATGGTCTCTTTCCCCACCTTGCAAACATGGATGCAGGACGTGTTCCTGCATCCCCATCCATCCTAGCCAGATAGATTAGGTTTCTATCCTATCTCTCAGCTTGCCCGTCTAGGATGGAGTTCCATATAATAAACGCCTTTTATTAGTCTGAAATCTTAAAGAGGCTCGGTGCAGCTCGGTTCTTGAGTTGCACACACCCAGACCTGAGATGCTTCCGCTAGGTGATGAGGTGCCTTGTGCACTCTGCTAAGTTATTAATGGCTTTCTGGCTATCCCAGACCAGAGAATCTGAGAGAGGAGACTGGGGGGGGGGGCAGGGGGGCAGCAGGGTACCCAGAACGGGCTTTGCATTTCCAAGCTCTGCAGGACATCCTCTGGCCATCTCCAGGTGAAATGTCTCAGGGAACAGCGCAGTGTTTCCTCTAAGCTGAGTTAGTGTGAGCTAGTTCACAGTTTTTTAGCCTCCAGCTCACATATTTTTGTCCTAGCTCGGGAAGGATGGCTCCAGAGCAAACTAATTTATGCAGCAGCCAAATCGCCCGCTCACCACTTTAACGCCAGGAGCTCGCAAAATAGAATTTTTTGCTCACAAGACTCCACAGCTTAGAGGGAGCATTGACTGGAAACTGGCTGGGTGGCCTTGAACCAGTCACAGACTCTCAGCCTAGCCCAACTCACAGGGCTGTTGTGAATAATATAGATGATGGGAGTGTGGGGTGAGCTCCTCTGGGTCCCCACTGGGATAAATTAAGTGAAAGAAATTAAAAATAAAAGACCTTCCTCATCTCCGTGCCTTCGGAGAGATGCTCCCTGTCCGAGCTAATTTTGATCTTGAGATCTAATGCACCCTACGCACACAGAGGAATAGGAAGCACGGGGGGGGGGGGATTCCATGGTGCTGTGATGGTGAGAGGAGACAAACCTGCAGTCCAGTTTTACAGAAGGAGAAAAATACACCCTGATTGACATGTGCTATGACCTAGGTGCAGGGCGGTAGCCAGGATTTCTCGTTTTGGGGGCAATTTTTTTTCTTGTGGGCCACCTATTACGCTTATACTTAAAATCAGGGGTAATTTCCTGCGGGAGCTCACAGGAGCAGCGCTCCGGCAGTAAGGAGCCCAGGGGGTGGGCACATGCAACAACCCCACCCCTGCTCCCAGCAACCCTCAGTTGGGCCACAAGGAGCAAGAAGCAGCCAGGTAAGTAAAACAGTCCAGTGGAGCCTGAGCCGTGCATGTTGCCTTCTGACACACTTCCGGTCATGTTAGGGGGTGTGGCATATGCAAATAAGTTATGCTAATGAGTTATGCTAATAAGCTCCTGCACCTCTTTTTCTACGAAATGACCCCTACTTAAAATAATAAACGACTGGTGATTTGGGGAGGGGAGTTTGGGGAGGGGAGGGGAGGGACGTCAATGGGATATAAGGCCACAGAGTCCCCCTGATGAGGTGTAGTGCCAGGGGATCTCCAGCCACCACCTGGAGATTGGCAACCCCAGGAGAGAGATTGGCTCTCCACCACCACCCCCCCGGCCATGGAACGTTATGGGGGAGAGGGAGAGAGGTCCACAGATCGGCTTCCTCACCACCATCACCATGCCCTCTCTCCCCCTCTCCCCCCCCCTCTCTCCCCAGCCCCTCAGCAGTGGGGAGGCTGGGGAGGGAATGGAAAGCTGCCCTGCCCCTTCTGGTCAGCTTCACTCCCCTCCCATCATCTGTTAAACCTAACAGCTGATCCTGGGGCTGTAACTGACCAGAAGCTGCAGGGCGGCTTCCCTTTCTTTCCCCAGCCTTGCCGCTGCGGCCGCGGGGCTAGGCACACTGGGGAGGGGGTGGTCTGGCATCATCAAATGGTGGGGCAGGGCTCGTGGGTGGTGGGGCTCCACCCCCAAATGCCCCACCGTGGCTATGGGCCTGCCTGGGTGGCCCAGACTAGTCCAATCTTGTCAGATCTTGGAAGCTAAGCAGGGTTGGCCCTGGTTAGGATTTGGATGGGAGACCCCCAAGGAAGCCCAGGGTCCTGACACATAGGCAGGCCATGGAAAACCACCTCTGGACCTCTCTCGTCCTGACTTAGACAGCCCAGGCTAGCCTGATCTCATCAGATCTTGGAAGCTAAGCAGGGTTGGCCCTCGTTAACGCTTGGAAAGCCAGTTCGGTGTAGTGGTTAAGTGCGCGGACTCTAATCTGGGAGAACTGGGTTTGATTCCCCACTCCTCCACTTGCACCTGCTGACGTGACCTTGGGCAAGCCGTAGTTCTGACAAGAGCTGTTCTCTCAAGAGCAGTTTCTGTCGGAGCTCTCTCAGCCCCGCCTACCTCCCAGGGTGTCTGTTGTGGGGAGGGGAAGGGAGAGGAGTTTGTAAGCCGCTCTGAGACACCTTTGGGAAGTGTAGGGTGGGATATAAATCCAATCTCCTCCTCCTCTTCTTCTTCTTGGATGGGGGACCTCCAAGGAAGCCCAGGGTCAGGATGCAGAGGCAGGAAATGATAAAACACCTCCGAAGGTCTCTTGCTTTGAAAGCCCCAAGAGTTTGCCAGACCTGAGTGCATTCCAGCAAGTGATGCAGGGTCACCATGTAGAGGGCCTCAGTTCCAGCTACACGAACACGGAAAGAACTGCCCCTTGCTGCACTGGTTTTTTTGGGGGGGGAGGGGGAAGGAGACGGCAGGCGGCACCCGGCTCACCTTGGATGGAGGGATGCTTCATCATGAGCAGGATGGCCCATTGCAAGGTCGTCGCCGTGGTTTCCGTGCCCGCCATGACTAGGTCCAGGATGGACGCAATCAGGTTGTCGTCGTGGAAAAGGTTCTCTTTCTTGCTGGCGTCCTGGTGGGGGAAAGTGCACACGCGGTCGCAGTGAAGGCCACAGGGCTTCAAGGTGGCAGCGTTCCAAAGGCTGCCTCAGCCTCCAGACCGAGTGGCAAGAGAGACTAGATAGCTAGACAGGCACACTGGCCTTTCCTTCCTGTCTTTATTCTTCTGCCCACTGTCCCCTTTGAAATGTAGACTGTGTTCTCGGGGACCATTTCCCCTCCCTTCCGTTCTCACACTCACTTGAAGGTGAAGTCTCTCCCTGCACACACCAAGAGGGACGACTTGCTGTCCTCTCTTGGAACCATGAGGCAGATGGGCCCCTCGCCGTCTGCTTCCGTCTTTAGCTAGTAAGTTAGTGCTCTATCCTGTCCCTATTCTTTCCTATCCAAATGTGTACTCCTCATATAAAGAGAGACATATTTCTCTTCTAAACCTGCAACATGGCTCCGTGTAGCTTTGTAAGCTGAGTAACCTGGTAAAGTAACACTGCTGCATTGGTAGCTTTATTTGAGCACTCTGCTAACCAGTTAACCAATGCTCCCTCTAAACTGTGGAGTCTTCTGAGCAAAAATTCTACTTTGTGAGCTACTGGCATAAAGTTTTGAGCGAGCCATTTGGCTGCATAAATTAATTTGCTCTGGAGCCACATCCTTCCTGAGCGAAGACATAAATGTGTGAGCCGGAGGCTAAAAAACCGTGAGCTGGCTCACATTAATTCAGCTTAGAGGGAACACTGCAGTTAACCCCAATATGTTTCAGTCGTGCACCTTTGACCCTTGGTGACCGCAGACTGGACACCTGCGCAAATGAGCCACTGGTCCTAACTCCGCAGGCAGGAGTTCCGTGCCAGCTCAAACAATGGAGTGTGGTTAACACAGACTGCCAGCGAGGCACAGAGGACAGAATGCGGAACTGGAGTGATCCAGGTTCTGAGCTGCCAGCCATGAAGCTTAGTGGGTGACCAGCCGGTCCCAGCCTAATCTACCTCACAGGGTTGTTGTGAGCAATGCTCCCTCTAAGCTGTGGAGTCCTTTGAGCAAAAATCCTACCTTGTGAGCTGCCGGCATGAAAGTTGTGAGTGGATGATTGGGCTATGGCATAGATTAGTTTGGCTCTGGAGCCACCCTCCTTGAGTGGAGACAAATATCCGTGAGCCGGAGGCTAGAAAACGGTGAGCTAGCTCACACCGATCCACCTTAGAGGGAACACTAGTTGTGAGTATCAAATGGAGGTCGGAAGAAGCACTCATGGCGCCCTGGGCTTCTTAGAGAAAGGGGCTGGGTCAGAATGTGTGTGTGTGATTCAGCCGTAGTGGGCTTAGTTCCCCCAACAGTGTGTCAACTACAGCGTAAAACTACAATGGAGTTAGGGTTAGGCGGGAGATAGGTTCAGGTTGGTGTATGCAGACAAAAAGTTTATACCCATAATTGAAATATGTGCTAAATATTGAAAACAGTTTGCAAGGAACTGGAAAATCCCCCCCCAAAAGCATATTCTGCTAGCAGATTCAGAAGAAGAAGAAATTTGATTTATACCCCACCCTTCACTCAGAGCGTCTTACAGTCTCCTTTCTCTCCCCCTCCCCACAACAGACACCCTGTGAGGTAGACGGGGCTGAGAGAGCTCTTTCAAGAACTGCTCACGAGAACAGCTCTGAGAGAACTTGTGACTGACCCAAGGTCACCCAGCAGCTGCATGTGGAGGAGTGGGGAATCAAACCCAGTTCTCCCAGATTAGAGTCCACCACTCTTAACAGTTACAACAAACTAGCACTAAGCATGTGGCCACTGCCGATTGCTGGTGTACAGTGCTTCTGAAACAGGGCTGAGGGCCGGAAAGTCCTGGATTCGAATGTTGCTACAGCTGGAAACTTACCAAATGTTCTTTTACAATCTTCTCCTTGGTTTCCTATCCAATATGGGAATAATTCTGCTTACCAGCTGGTTAGGTACAGTACAGGTGAATTCCTGTTGGGATTGATTTTGCACCCATAGCAGGAATATAATCAAAACTTTTTGGAAGACATGCCTGCTATTTAAGGAATCTAGGCTGTAGCAACTGGATGGTTTCCCCCCTAAAATTAGGATGCTGCACATTTTGGAAAGAAATGATATCATGGCTTAGCAGGAAACTTGGGCCCTGTTCACACTAGACGGTTTGGGCCGGGATAGGGACAGATCAGGGCCGCAGCAAACGGGTGCGATCCCACAGCAACATCTGGGAATCGTGCTGCGCCCGTTCCCAGCCCGTTCCCAATCCACCCCTCCTGGCCAAACCCCACAGCAAAAAAGAACCACCTACCTAGGTGGGATCGCCGGCGCGTCTTTTCGCTGGCGCATCCCCGGCCCCCGGCCGTACTGTGCATGCTCAAGCATGCGCAGTTCAGCAGCCTCCCCCTCCCACTCGTCTCTTCCTCCCCGGCATCTGATCGTGCCGGGGAGCAATGGTGCCGCGGCTCAGAGGATCGTGGGATCCCGCCGCAGCGTCTCTTTTTTCGTGCGGCTTTTAGAAGCCACGCTTTGCCCAGTGTTTTCCCTGCTATGTGGCAGGGGCCTCGGTTTCGCTACCTGTAACAATGCCCTGACCTGGACGGTTTAGGCTAGCTTGATCTCATCAGATCTTAGAAGCTTAGCAAGGTCAGCCCTGGTTAATCCTTGGATGGGAGACCCCCAAGGAATACCAGGATCATGGTATGGAAGCAGGCAATGGCCTGCTCTGAACCTCTGAACATCACCTCTTCCTTAAAAACCCTACCGGGGGAGGGGGGGTCGCCATAAATCAGCTGTGACTTGACGATACTTTACACACACCTGGAACGTCTCAGGTTTTTGTGTCAAATTATTTTGACAGTTCCGGTTTTCTGCAAATGAATGAATAAATAAAGCTATTTTTTGAGGCTTAAGGGTCTGTTACAGCTGTCAAATTAAGGTGGGGTGTGTTTTTTGTGGTATTTTCAGTTTAACCACAATGTTCTCTTTAGATTCGGTTGTCAGGACTAATTATTGTCACTCTGTTGAACAGTAAAGTGACTGTCGCTGTAAAGGGGAGAGTCGAACAGAGGTGGGTTCGCTAATTGCCTGACTCTGCGTAGCAACCCTGGTGGTCCTACATTCAGGATCTACTCGGGGCCGACCCTACTTTGCTTCTGGGATCTGATGAGGCTAGGCTAGCCTGGGTTTATCCAGGTCAGGGCCCCCTTTGGAGAGATTAAACAAACCCATGGAAAAGCCTATCAAAGGCTGCTGATAGTCCAGTGGAACTTCCATATGCAGAAGCAGGATACCTTTGAGTATCAGATGCTGGGAGCTACAGGGGAGGGGTTTTGCTGAGGCTGCTAAGAGCCACTGTGAGCCCCCAGACAAAGACTCCCTCTGGGCCCCCATCAAACCACTCAGCTTAAACCCAAAACAACCTATGGGACCCATAGATGCCAGCCTCCTCCAGGTAGGACCTGAAAGATGCCATCTTTTGGGTATGCTGTAGGTATGTAGGGCTATCTTTCGGCTATGCTCCTGCAGAGTGCAGGGGGTTGGACTAGATGACCTGCAAGGTCCCTTCCAACTCTAACATTCTATGATTCTATGGGAATCCCCTGATCTCCAGACTACAGAGATCAGTTTTCCTGGAGCAAATGGATACTTTAAAGGGCACTGTACCCCACTGAGGTGGTCCCTGTCCTCCCCAGCCTCCATCCCCAAATCTCCAGGAGCTTCCCAGCCTGGATGTGGTGACCCTGCCCCCCCACCCCCCACCAGTGGCCGGGGGGGACGTGGCAACCCGAATTGGCACCCAGGTGGATTAGGCCTACAAAGAATTATTCCTTTACTCCTTCCCCCCAGTCCTGCTTTTGGCCTTCCTGGAGGCTGCCATTGAAAACCAGAATGCCCTTGCATCAGATCCACGCGGCAGTTCTCATCATTCTTGGCCTGAACGGGACCCAGTACCTCTTGCTGCTTGAAGACTAAGGCATCTGTGTAACTCCGGAGGCCGGTGGCGTGGGCGTCCCCCTTGCTCGTCCTGATGTAACCCCGGATAATGACGCGGACCTCTTCGACTTTTTGGAGTAAACGTTTGTGGTCGTTGAAAAAAAAACCCAGGAAGGGGTAGAAGTTGAATAGCTGGAGGGGAGCAAACGAGGAAAAAAGAAAGGGGGGAATGGACAAGGTAAGGCTGAATCGTTGAACAACGAAGAAAGCCGAAACTGAAGAAAATTGATTCATTTGAAACGTGGTGCTGGAGGAGAGCTTTACGGATGCCGTGAACCACCCAAAAGACAAATAAGTGGATTCTAGATTAAATCAAACCTAAAGGCTGTGATCATATGCGCCTTTAGATCCGACATAGCTGCAAATGCCTGATGGATCTAAAGGGCACGATCAGACAGCAACATCTGGGAAAGGTCCTGCAGTCGTTGGCAACCCGTGCTGCTCCGCCACGGAAGTGGAGGTAAAGGACACCGGGGAAAGTCTGGCTCTAACTGATCTTCTTCGTGGTCTCTGTGCATCACACCTATGGGATTATGCGCCCGCGCCGATCCGTATCGGTGGTATGCAATGCTCACAAACGGATTTTCGCACCTCTCCTCCAGGCATGCGCAGGAACCCCACTGCGCATGCCCAAAGAGGCAGGGCACGGACATCTCACCAGTTCTCTTCTGACCACCGCGCTGTTAACAGCTTGTTTCTGCCGATTGGTGAAAAAGCGTTTTTTCCTCTCGCGAAGGATACTCCAAACCTATTTTTCTTTTCTTCACTTCCAGCATTTATTTTATTTCTTATTATTATCAAAAGAGAGAGAGAGAGAGACTTTTCGCTGAGGGTTGCCACTGCCTCAGGCGGCTTCCCGCCTTCTCCCCCCCCCCTTCCTGAGGTAAAAATTTCCTCGCCTCAGTGAAGGACCTTTTTCTTGTCTTTTGGGCCTTTTTACTCTTTTATGGCCAAAAGAGGGGGTTTTAAATTGTGTGTTGTCTGTGGCAGTAAACTTGCCCCTCGTGACAGCCACACACTCTGCATTATTTGCCTTGGGGAGACTCATCGCCCAGATGCTTGCCGCCATTGTGCGAAGTTCTCGAACCAGACTCACAAGAACAGAGCCGCGAGACTTCGAGTAGCACTTTGGGAAATGGCATTGTCCCCTGTGCCTGTGGGAAATATGTCGACCGAGACTATTGACAGTGACCAAGTCGACATCGGGAGGCACCTCAGCACCGAAACCCCCACCCGTGCAAAGTCAGCATCGGACAGGGGGCAGTCTTCTAAGTGCTTGGCGTTGAACGAGGCCTCATCCGCCTCTATGCTGGCTAAAAAGAAGAAAAAGGAAAAGCACGAGAAAGCTAAGTCTTCTCTCACTAGCACTATGTGTCAGTCTCAGAAAGTGAGCAGCGATAATGTACAATCGGGCTCTGCATTACCCCCTCTCCAGCGGGCACAACCCGACGTCGCTGATACCCCGATACCAGAGCTGCCTACGATTGAGTTACTGAACTCACCAATCCGGCACCTGAACCCCCCGGTCACCAATATGGCGATTCCGGACCAATTTTGGCCTCACCACTTGAAGTTGAGGAAATGGTTCCACGTCGGCCTCGTGCACATTGTTCCCAGTCGGTGATTTCCTGGGAAAGTGATCGGTCAGCACTGGGCTCTTGACACCGTCGATCCCGATCGCCCAGAGGCCATGAATATCGATATCAACCTGAGGAGTGCCCAGATTACCGTCGTTCCAGGCCCATGCTCTCGTACTTGCCTAGACGGGAATTGAGACTGCACTCCATAGCCACTCCTGGCTGAGGACCACCGCACTCCCTGCTGATACCAGGGTGTACATAGAGGACTTACCTTTCGATGGCCAAGGTCTCTTCCATGCGTCCACTGATTCGACGCTCCAGGAAATGGATAAGAGCATTAAGGCCTCAAGGTCACTGGGGATCTCTGCCCCCTCGAAGCCTTTTCGTCCTCACTCATGGTCTCATTACAGCTCCAGACACCAATACGCTAAGCTGTCACTGGATGAAGGTTACAGGCCACGTCGGTCCCCATCTGTGAATAGGCAGCAGTACCAGGCCAGACAGAGATATGGCTCTGGACAGCAGATTGTCAGACCGAAACAATCCAAACCGGGCAAGCAGGGCCTTTGACTTCCGCATGTCTACCTCTCCCGACCCTACCCACCTTCATCCATATTTAACAGGCCTGGGCCACCATTACGTCGAACTAATGGGTCCTTTCCATCTTAGCCAAGGTCTATTCCATCGAATTCATGGAACTCCCACCTCTTCCTATAGTTGTCATCACTACCCCATTGTCATTCCTCCTCGAGGAGGTCACCACACTTCTGTCAAAGGGTGCTATAGAGCCCGTGCCTCTAGATCACCAGGGACTTGGTTTTTATTCCCGATACTTCGTGGTTCCCAAGAGGGACGATGGGCAGAGGCCGATCTTAGACCTTCACGGCCTCAACACTTTTATAAGGTACCAAAAATTCAAAATGACATCCCTTCCCGTCATTCTGCCTCTCCTGTCCCAGGGATGCTGGATGGCCACCCTAGACCTCGAGGATGCCTATTATTTCCATTTAACTATCCACCCCGCCCATCGCAAATACCTCTGATTCACGATAGGTGGCACCCACTACCAATACAGGAGTCTACCATTTGGCCTCAGCATGGCCCCGAGGGTCTTTACCACGACGATGGTAGTTGTTGTGGCACATCCCCGCCTCTGTGGCCTGACGGTGTTCCCATATATGGACGATTGGCTTCTGGTCGCCCCTTCCAAGGCCCTCCTCATTCGTCAGATTCAACGCCTCCTGGGCCTAATGGCAGCAACAACTGCAGTCCTCCATTTTGCAAAGTTGCAAATGCGACCACTCCAGCTTTGGTTCATCCGTCACTTCAAGCCTCTAAGGATGTCCCAATCTGTTGCTTTTTTCCTGCCACAAGAAGTATGTGACTCCCTACTGTGGTGGATGCAGTCAGACAACCTGACGGAGGGGATCCCATTCTGTCCTCCCACTCCTACTCTCACCCTCACAACCAATGCTTCACTGTGGGGCTGGGGAGCCCACCTCAATGGCCTCTCCGTAGGTCACAGGTGGGATGCTGTATCCTCAAGGAGACACATAAATTTTCTGGAACGGTTGGCAATAAAATTGGCCCTTCAATGTTTCCAGCTTCTGCTCACAGGACAATGCGTAACTGTCTTAACCGACAATACGATGGCCCTCAGTTACATCAACAGGCAGGGTGGAACGGTCTCCCGCGGTCTCTGCCTCCTGGCTCTGGACCTTTG